TACTTGCAATTGCTTACGGCTGCTCTTCTAGATAAGCACTTTTCTGTTGTAAAGCAGTGCTAATTCATTTCCTCCAACGGCTACCTATCTGACTGTTGATGTTCACGAGTATCATTCATTCGGTAGGAGATAGATTTCGCAGTACATGGATAGTGCAATACAGTAACTTTGCACATTAAGATAGAATAGCACTGAAAGACCCGCGAAAATCCATAATTGATAGAAATCTTAGAGAAAACAGGTGGATGAGCAGAATTGAACATTGAGTTGCGTCACAACCACTACTCAAACCCGAACTCACAATCCCGACAGAGGAGTCGTGAAATCCGCTCACCTCTAGCTCGTTATTTTGTTGGATTAAACTGATGGATTGTTATCGTTAAATTGACTTCTTCGCAAGATTGCCTGTGCACAATAGGGCCTCTAAATGCCATTGCTTGTTCAGCTCTATGAAAAGAGGGCGGAGTCACACAATTTGTTACGCTTTAATTCTTTCAGTCGTTTGTCTAGGAACGCTCATTGCCCATTTTTAAGGTGCGGAGGCGACTGAACCACAATGAACTTCAGAACATCATATTTCCACTGATCAAGGGTTTGTATAGCTTTAGTAGTAGCACCTTTTCCTAGCTATAGTTCACTGCTTCCTTTTAAAGGCACAGTACAGGATAAAAATGGTTTCTGAGACTCTTTCCCAGAATGAACCTGTAACTCCCAAAGATAGCAAGGGACACTGTCGGGTCAAAAAAGGCTTAGATAGGCCGTAACGAGGGCCTAAAAACCGACTAGTAATGCAGACGGGTTTTCGCGGCACTGTAGAGGCGTAGAGATTGCATCATTCGCACTGGGACGCACACACTGTACGCAGGCGACTTACTGTAACCAACTGCACGCAATGGTACGCACATTTGGACGGCCCTTCCGGGTACCTTTCCATGCGACTTCTGTAGTCACATTCTCACGCAGCCCCTGATTTTACTACGTTTTAGAGGACTTGTTGGGACTGTGTTTGTCGTTGTATTGTTTATTGTGTTTGTTTATGCTTATCCGCTTGTTATCCGCTACTTTTGTGGACTATCACCCACATTATTCGTCTAAAACTATTGTAGATACCCCAAAATTATCGTGAGCTGCACCTTCAAAGTTATGGAATCGTCTTTTGCACATAAAGCACTCTCTTGATAGTTGTCCTACTCACAGCTAACTTTACAATTTTCGATTCCAATCCATGTTCAAAGACACGAAATCATTTTCAGATCCTTTACTATGCAATTGAATTGGTCTCAGTGCGTTTTTCTTTTGACCACCTTTGTGTCGGCCCCATTGTATATATCGATTATTATTATAATGATCAAGGACTGGAAAAAATTCCAAAGCCAAAAAACCATAAGTTTATTAACAATATCGCAGGTAAGAGTTGTATATTCCTAGGTTGGTTAACAGAGGTAAAATTGACTGTCCAGCTGGTTTTTTATTGTAAAATCATGAATTTACAGTCTTTTCCGAATTTGCCTTTCAAAATGGTTCTTGAAATAGCTCAAGTCCTCAATTTAAAACAAATTCCTCAATTCAAAAAATTTTCTAAAAGAAACTCTCGAAAGTTTTTCCCGGTTATGAGGAACCAGTAAGAATTAGCAATTATCCCAACTTTTCATTCTGAAACTGTTTCTATTATCCAGAGTTATTTTCTAATTCACGCTTACATATACTCCACTAACATAAGCATACCTGAATAAATAAGTATAATTTTGTGGAATAGAATCCAAGGCTTGTTTACCTGGACAAATTTATTATTGATAACAATTTTCTAACATCATTTATCCTTGTTATTCATCCATCAGTACCATATCATGAAGGGATTCAATTATAATCAAAATAACAAAAAATATAAATAATTAGTTTACCCACCTTGGCTGATTTTGAAGTTCCGGCAAAGTTCCTGAAGACACGTCATTGGCAACAATGCTCACTGTAATTATAATCAGAAGGCATTCGCTTCCGTTGAAAGTGTTCAGATAGTTGTGAAGCAGCTAACGTGCTTTAAAACTGAACGAAGNATTGTCAACGGCTTTTTTCAGACTGAAAATAGCAAAAATCAGAGAATTATCTCCCCCGGATTATGACGTGCCTACTCTACACACATAGCGTTATTCATTAGTTTGCAAATGATATGCCTGAAGTCAGGAAAAAGCACTAGGTAATCGTCAAAAACAGCAGGCAGCCTGTTTTTACGAAGAGTAATTTCCTTGCTTTTTCACTCAAGATTTCTAGTGTTCAGGAAGAAGTTATGCACTATATCGAAACTAGCTAGGGAGTACTCTCTGTGAACAATCACTGGTTGTAAGAAATTACTGATTACTTGTCTAGAAACTCGGACTTTTAATAAGCTCTGACATCACCTCGAGGTGCGTGGGACTTGAACTCGATTTTTCACATGAAGATATTTTCGGAAAACTATATGGTTAGAATCCATTTCCAAGTATGTACTCAGTGGTATGAGAATTGTTCACGTATTTCATTTCTAATCAACCCATTCAGCATAGATTTTCTACCCTTCTGGCTGACTGAGTCACCCAGTAAGCCAATGGCTCAACTAGCAGAGATATAGTATTGGAACTTGCTCTAGGTGCGCCGTCAACTAAATGCCCCAAAAAACACTGCATTCCCAATTGATGGTGAACAACTCCTATATGCGACTGTTGTCAATAAAGAAGATCACCTAATTGAACAAGACGCCGGTTTCTACTGGGGCTGAGTCATGCTCTTTAATTTTATTTCATGAGGGGATAGCCTTATTTTGACTTTGAGCCTGTGTCTTTTCTATCTGTCGATGACTCTGTTCAACAGAAGCTAGCTAAAGCGCCTTCAAACTGTTGTACGCTTCGTTCAACGCCCTCAGCGGCTCTTACTGGTTAGAGTTTTTAGACCTTGACAATCGCACCTCGACAATAGTCTACCTCATAATGATGCCGCAGTCGTGAACTGTTTTACAATCCACACATTCGAATGTAGCTGACTCCCTCACCTGAAAATGTCACAAATATTTCAAAGAATCTGTCTTCATTTGGACGTTTCTATTACACCAACAAAACTATTTTTAAAAATGTTGAATGTAACGTTCAACATTTTCAGGCATTCGTTAGGTACACCGAATTCTAAAAATTTCAAAAAGCGTAAATAGGGCAAATCAAGAGCAGAAGCGCTGTCCTACTTACAATAGCGCGTACATGGAATAAGTATAAATATACTTGTGTTCTCGAATAGATGCATCGCCATCAATCAGCCTGGTTTTATGGAAAGAATAGCGCATGAATTAATTCACAGAAATATTATATAAAGTAGAAATCACAGAGTCTCAGCCCAGGAAAAAGGGCATCACATGAAAAATAAAAAGATATAGTAAAATGAAATTCAAAAGCTTAACACAATCATGGCAGAAGCTAAAAATCTTGTTCTCTTTGGTTACTTGCTTCATTGAAAGATTGTTGTAAACATGAACTGTACCCAACCAATTGAAAGTGCAAATTCTGAAAGCGTTGGTTCACGGTGCACTCTAAGCAAGTTCGATCAGTACTATAAGTCGGCCAGCCATGTTTGTTTACGAATAAAAAACAACAAGTAGTACAGTACATAAGATTAGTGTGATGGAGTGCATAACTTGTTTCCATACACCGAAAATTTTGAAAAGGCAAGATAAGTATGCTCTTAGAAAAACAGACCGCGTACCAAATTCCAAGTTCTCTCATCTTGAAAACTCGGCATTGCTGTTGTTCTTGAAAATGTTAGTTTTGCTTCTGCCTCGAGGTTGTTAGGTGGAAATCTTTATTTTGGCCAACGTTTCGACGGACTCGTCGTTTTCAAAGGCCTGAAAATGGATCAAAACTTTTTGATTGCACACTACCCCACCAAGCGCCTCCTCCGCTCTAGCGTTTCTGACGTTCTATTAGGAATGCACGAAAAAAGCCCAAAATCAAAAAGATAAGCTCACCTCACTTCCACCGCGAAGTGTAGCACTGCGCTACACGGTTAGTATTTACATTAGTAGCGAATGATGTTAGTACTTCGCTGTCCTAATGCAGTAATATCATTATTATTGCGGTTCAGCACGTTCGCTGATTACTTTCAAGACCGCGTACCTGTTTTTTTTTTGACGATCGAATTGCGCTTTTTCTTAATTCAGAAATGCCATTTACAAACTATTTGTGAGAGTAGTGAGTATTTGTGAGAGTTGAAAATTCATTGAAAGTCATTTGAATTGCCATTTGAAGCTGTATTTGAAGTTGGGACGTGGCCAAATTTACCCCATTTTGAAAAATATTGGTATCAAAACGACCAGTATGACCCGATGTATGTGACAGTCTTCGTTTCTTGAACATGGAATCTGTGGAATATGTTAACTACTTAGCAGCTTAGCGAATACCTTCCATGAAAGCGAATGCATTTTGGTTATGATTATAGCGAGCGTCTTGACGTACCCGTAGAACACGGAGCAATGGATTCAAAGTTGAAGTTGGATGATTTCAAATTTTCATTTTACCACTTTGAATCGCCTGATGCAGAGGAATCGAAAAGCCTCCTTACCAAGGGAACGAGTCCTGCATTATGCAAGGATCAGATTCCGGGTCGCTTCTCAAATAGGCTAATCATGCTGGCCACAATGTGCAGGCGCACCCCGAAAAGGGAAAAAGGGTCGATTACCATTAAGGGCCTCTGAGACTTCGTTATGGTTACAATCTTGAAACTTATGATTTTTCTTTTGTTTTTGAAATGGAAACCAACAAGTGCCATTGAAGGAAAACTAATTTTTTTAGGGAATAGCCGACCTCATGTTGAACTTGAACTTCATAATATTCGTCATTTTACGATCTGTTCCTTTCACACAACAAATTTTTTGGATTACTCAAAAATACTATGTTGGAACGTGGAGTATAAATCAGTACTATGTGTCGTCTATTATGCGATCATTGGGCATATTACTGATTACTGTTCAACGCTACTTAGCAATGTGCTGCCCAGGATCGGCCATGGAACGGGTACGGTACACAGAATTCACTTAAATGTAGAGTCTTTACTAGTATGCCTTCAATATTCGGCATACAGGATGACAAAAGCAAAAGAATCTTGTCTCTCCTTTCCCTCACCCCCTCCTCTCCCACTACCCGAACTGCTGTTACGCCTGTAATCGTACCAATTAGGCTAACCAGTTCCATCCATCCAGGGTTGGGAGGCATACTTGGCACCAGTCTGTCTTGGGGAATAAAAGCACTGACTTGAACATCGACTTAATACCATAAGTTATAGTATGTATAAGTCACTACGCGTTCAAACGCCCCTATGTAGTTGCGGGAAAGTACTGTCTGTGCTGTCGGAGACTGTATAGGAAGATTATAATCTGTGGGTGAGTGGGTGCTTGATAGAAAACCCAAGATGCGTCCAATTTCTTGGATTCTTGCTACTGTAATGAAGCCCCACTCCAAGGAATCCCGCAGTCTAAGGGGATTTTTGACCAAACCATTTTACCCCTTCTTGTGGGAGCTTGTAGGGGTTCAAGACTAGGTTGACAGTAGGAGAGGGGGTTCTTTTTTTTCTCTAGAGACATACTTCTACTTTCTTTTCAGTGGACAGACTCAGATAAGCGATGGATTCTGGTAGCCGTACACTGGGTGTTTCCTTTTGCTTATATATTACCGGTCACTGGTCGTGATATAATCGGATTCAAAAACCCTACAACGATGGATGTGGCAGTGCGTCCAGATTTCATTAATGTGAGTTACTTTCAAGCTACCAGTACACTGTTACATTGATTGCTCTTTACTAGCACCTGCTGGCAGAACAAATTTCTGAACACCCAAAGGAAAAGGAAGTAGAATAATTTGGACATAGCAGAGCACCAAAATAACTTTCTGAAGTCTGCCACGTTTCCTTCGCTCTAGATGATTTGAGTAGAATTAGATTCTAGATATCTACTCGGTGGCATTGGTAAGAGCTAAGCTTTCAAGTAAAAGCGGACATAGACCTTGAAGGCGATGAAAATAGCTCCAGAGTCCACCCCCCTCCCTTAGAATGGATCTGCAGTACTCCTCGTATACCGCATGCGGCGTTGACATAAGTAGGGCGTTGGAAGGGGTCAAAGACTGTATAGGAAGATTTTAATCTGTGGGTGACCACAGATTAAAATCTGTGTATCAAAGACTGCTGTTACGCCACACCCAAAGGCAGACGAGTTTCTTTGGTATGGTGGAGGCCGCACCAATCACAATTGACCCATCGCCGTTGTACGATAGCGCGACCTTCAAGAGCAGTGTAAATGAATGAATAAATAAATAAGTAAATAAGCGTACGACGCAGCAGCTAACCATAAATTCCAGCTTGCCAATATCATTACGTTTTGGTTTGTCCTGCCAGCTTTTGTTGTATGTATTTGTTGCTACGCGGCAATACTTCACTATCTGTGTCGGCATCGATTGGACAGAAGTCTGTGAGTTTCACGTTACTCTGTTATCAAATCATCCGATCATTCGCCCTGGATAGGTGCACTTTTTCAAGAAATAGCTAAACCACTGTCCTGGTTCGTGCTGTAAATGGTCCTGGGCTTTTCTTGTTGGTACGAATGTATGGATTCAAAGGAGGTTACATGAGACATTGCCGAGGCGAAAAGCGGCAGGACGCTATAGGAGCTCAAAAACCGGTCACGAAGTAGACTACCAGCCAATACGTACTTCCAAGAGAGGGTGTTCAGTGACCTTGTGGAGATGATATCATCCGAAATGGAGCACGTTTGATGAAAATGCAGTGAGCTGATATACTTGTGCTAATAGCTGAGACACGTAGCCCTGCATCGGCTAAATCTCGTCCGAACACCACTCCAACAAAACATCATTGGTCAACCTTAGAAATGATACGTTTTGAAAGTTTCCTAAATCGGGATTCCTAAGCATTATCTCTTCCTCTTCTCCGAAAAGGAGCCACTCTGCATTAACAGTTCAACTTTGTAACCTACAAAGGTATAATGCCTTTAGTGTGAAAGCTGCTTTCCCTAAACGGTAAAGGAGCCCATAGATTGAGAGATTCTCATAAACAAGATTGTTTTCTTTGAGATGAGCCACCAAACTCTGACCTGAGATCAAAACCCAGTTGACTATGTACCCAGACGACGAGGTCATCTATTGCAATGGGAGGGTGCATTCTCCATCTGGGTATCTAAGGCGTCTGGGACGTAAACGAACTAACTAATACGCCTCCCTTGCCTCAAACAATGATCAGCTTTAAATGAGTAAGACGTTCCTATGAATTCGAGTAGAGGTCTGTCGAATGTGGTCACTCCAAAATGGCATTAATTCTGTCCAGAAATCTTATTTTTCTTATTCATAATTCGGTGCCACATTTCTGTTCCATTAATACAACGAACCATTTTCAAGGGCTATTCGACGTGAGCGACGTGTATTCGTCGAGATGATGGGTATGGCAGTAGCGTTCACTATCTGCACAGTGTATCATATTTTAGGAATAAAGTTTTCATTATCATCCGACGTGAGTTTTGATCTGAATCAGGACTGCATTTTCAATTCATGACGTTTACTCTACGACTGCTACTTATCGTAATTCTAGACATAAAATGATTTATAACGAGCGCAGTAAGTTCCAAACAACATACATCTTACCATCGAAAAACCGGAGGAACAAAGAAAGAGAAAGGAGATCCAGTTTACTTCGCTGGAGGGGTATTGTTTAAGGATGGCCAGGAATTGTATGTCAGTTGTTGGTACGGTCAATGTTGTGACAACTATTTATGATCAATTATCAATCTGTACAAAATGGGAAAAGCTTCTATTTCTGCTTTTAGACCCAAAAGACAAAAGTTTCCTGTTCCGTGTTGTCCCTCTGGGCGCTCAAATGAGCGACCCATACTTATCTTGTGATTGGAACCACACTGGCTTAACCGAATACTTTGTAAAGCCTTTTTGAGCAATAAAAGAGTAGATTCAGTGTTCGTTAGCAGTTCCCAAACCTACAAGGAAGCCTCTCTGACACCACATTACGTATATATTGCTCAGGAAAATTGCGATCATGGGGTAGACTTGTGGGGGCATCTGAGCAGGAACTGCCCTATCAAAAACTCAAATAGCATCTAAAGAAATTCGGGAAATGAAGTGTTATGGAATAACGGAATTCGTGTAGCTTACGGCCTGCGGATTTACGACTGAAACCAGTTTCAGGATGTTAAAGTAATGAAACTGCGACGAGTCGCTCTACCTCTGATATTCTGTCTAATGTCCTACGTTAGCCCATGGATGATGTTTCTGACCAGACGAGAACTTCGTCAAAAAGTTTTTTCCTTCTACGGAATGAAGCATACGTGTTTCGCGGCCAGTATAGGGTAGATATTTAATTTTTTCTAGACAATTCTTACTGAATGAATATTTGAATTAAAAAATTACTGTAGGAATTTTATTCAAGGGTAGAGGCTTTTGCTTTTCTACCGCTTTTCAACTAACGTACATTATTTGCATGACTTGTTCAGAGCCGTTCGGATCAAGCCAACAGGAGCAACAACAATGAGCTGACGACATCTCAAGGCACAGCAAATTGTATGGACTTGTACATTGCAACGTATCACTACTGCGGTTTTTGTAATAAAGGATTTTATGAAATGCAAATTTTGATGAAGCATCCCTTCTTATTTTGCTTCACTGGGATTTTGTGTTCTTCAAAACTTCTCCGTCCGTTCCTTACACAAAGCCCCTCACCTTGTTACGGTCAATTATAACTGGTACGATTTCCGTTCAATTCATCTGTTCTTTAGGCCCCCTAACTAAGTACCGCAAGGGCTACATAATCAAAATGGATTTTACCAGAAAATCTCATTTTTGGTGTCACGAGAAGAGAAAGCTAATTGAAATTTTTATTGCTCATATAGGTTGGCTCCATTCGAGCTCTGGTGCAGATGAGTTTATGAGAACCTGACGTTCACCTGAAACGCGGGATTTTAAAAATCTAGATTTAACATAATTCGGAATCCAAAGGTACATATTCTCTGATCGACACCGGTGGAACGTAAGCTCCTTTTCAGTTGGCTTTAGGTTTGCTCTTTCATCCTCTTGCTAAGTACATAGATTCGAGTGCCCGCTACTTCTTCCACTTGTTCAAAGGTTACAACCATGCTCTGATGATAGAGTTAACTTCCTTTTCAAGGAAGTAGAGGTGCTCAAGAATACGCAGGGTAACGGTAGCGCCTCTTGTCAATGGAAAGAAGGATGTCTGTAACACTGAACATCGTTTTTTTAGTTTCTTCGGATGTTCGGCTTAGAGTACCTGCTATAGGATCGTAGTAGTATTTTTGATTCTTATCCGACCTATACAGTCGTTTGCAGGAGCCATGTACCTGTCAAACGCAGAACAGACTAGATCTTACCGGTTCTGAAATGAAGGGTCGATCTGCTGGTGGCATAGTTGCTGTCGGAAGGGCTGAAACAAAGGCACCACACGATTTCAAAACTAAACGGTTCTTAATGAAGATCATTACGTGGAATCCATCTCCATCCTGGCAACGAGGGGAAAAAGCAGTATACTCTGGGAAACGGCGCTTGGTATTTACAAGTGATCGTTTGTACTGGCGAATCATCTGAGGGATTTGATTGACAGTACACTGCTATGGAAATTGCTAGAAGGAAGACGACTAGTCTCATTCTGAAACAATTCTCGTTATAAAGATTGAAAAGTCTTTCCTGGTAAGAAAAACCCAAATTTGAAACTTCAAATAAATATCCTTCCGTAATAAAGAAAAAATTTGGGGCTGGGAGCTTGCCTGGCATCTATATATACCCCATCCTTTGATAGGATTTCAATTCCAACTGATTTCACAACATTGAGAAAGACCTATTACAAGCCGTTTGTAGATATGTGTATGCGTGTGTGAACTGATTGAATTCCAATGTGGAAAGCTCTAGGCGCTCACGAATTGTTGATCATTCATAAAGTTTGTGAAAATCTGAGCAACGAAAATGTAGTTATAAAAATAGGAGGAACC